ATTTGCTGCACCAGCTCTTCCCGGCGGCGGTACTGTCCCGGGGGTGGCTTACGGATAGGCTTCGGTCAAATAAAAGCTTTGCTGTTGCAGTCCGCTAACAACGCCTGCCGGTGTGCGCATCGGGCCTTTTCAGGGCTCTTTAGATCTCTGACGGGCTTCGTCTCTTTGAAGATTTAGACGCCAGGGAACGATCTGGAAGCTGAACCCTGCGAGGGCTGCTGCCACTCAGATGGTGTGCAGAGCATAAAATGGGTGTGTACTAGTGCGTAAAAGAGGGCAGGAAGAAGCCTTCTTTGAGCGGTGTAATCTAGTCTGAGAACTAGCGTAGTGCTGTACTTCATGGTATTGTCCCTTGACTCTAGTAAGGGTTGCTGTCCAAGAGCTTTCTTTTCCACCAGAAAACTTGTATGGTTTTCTCAAATCAGGGTCTTCCTTTCTGGGAAGTGGCATGGACTCTTGACATCATGGCCTCCTTGTCAGTTGAGGTCAGCCTGTTTTCTTCAGGCGTTGCAGAACTTTAGGACTGATAAGGTGCTGAGAACAGTTGATTCTTGTTAAGCCTGTCACTGATTACAAGAATTTACTCTTTCTAGTATTTTTCTGTCTGTAGTCTGGCCAAAATCGCGGCTACTTAACCTTTCCACTATTTCCCCAAATATTTTTCTGGGCCTGTCATTACACCCATGCTACCTCCTTCCCCAGTCTTGACCCTCCAGCTTTTGGTCTTGTAGATGCTTTGTGGATCCTTACACCTTTTGTGGAAGTAATCCAGCCTTGGTTAAAGACAACGGAGAGCTTTCAGACCCTCTAGACTTTATATGTGATAATGAGGGCAACGGCAAAGCCGTTTTCTTTTGTCTGTACAGGTGGCTAGGTCACTGAGTGGCAATGTTCCTCTTCCTTTAGGTTGACTGTACAGCAAACTCAAACACCTGTAATAAGTATGGAGTCAGTGGATATCCCACCTTAAAGATTTTTCGAGATGGAGAAGAGTCGGGAACCTATGATGGGCCCAGGACAGCAGGTAAGAGCTCGTCGGCAAGCATCTGGCTTGCCGAAATGGTGCTGGAAGGCAGACCCATGTATAATAGTCTTGTGTCAGGGATGTTACATGTGTTGAGGGATACAAAGAAGGTTCCCACCTACACACACGCGCGCGCCCCCCTTGCCCTTTCTAGAACTCTTTGTGCTGGCAGAGCCCTGGATGTTTAGTATCCCTTAAAGCTCTTTTTTAAAGGTGAAGGTTTCCACATTATCTTTAACTCCTAGTACCCTTGATGTGCGGTATCTGGAAAATGCTAGAAGGTTCCTATGTGAAGTTGGTAATAGCGCTCTTTCAATTCACGTCATATTTGTTGTATGGGAGAGGTGTATGGATTCTGCAGAAACAACTTTTGTTTTAGGAAGCTTGAAAAATGTCTTGTGGAATGTTGTACTGATCCCTTTAATCACTTTTTTTTTTTAAGATGGGATTGTCAGTCATCCATTGTACTGATCCCTTTAATCACTTAACTTTTTTTTTAAGATGGGATTGTCAGTCATCTCAAGAAACAGGCGGGACCTGCTTCAGTGGCTCTCAATTCTGTGGCTGATTTTGAGAAATTCATTGGTGATAAAGATGCTTCTGTAGTGGGTAAGTAGATGCAGTGCAGCACTGAAATGAGTGGACGCTTACCTCTGGGAGATGTCTCGGGAAATATACTGTGACAGGTTAAGAGGCAGTATCACAAGCTGTAGCAAGAGAAATTTCAGATGGACATGAGCAAAAAAGTTTTTCACGAGAACGATAAAGCAGTGGAACGTGTGCCCAGAGGGATTTCGAAACATTCAGTCTGGGAGATTTTCAAAACTTAGTTGGACAAAGTTCTGATCAATCTGATCTGACTTTGAAGCTGGTCCTGCTTTGAGCAGGAGGTTGGACTCGATGACCTCTGGGATTCCTTCCAACCTTCCCCCCCCCCTTTTTTTTTTTCTTTTTCCTGTGATTCTTCGACTGTCTGTCAGACCTCCTGGCACCACAGTGTGTATTTTTTAAAGTTTGTTGCTCTTTTGGCTGGCTGACAACAGGTATCTTTGGATTGCTAGAAAGTACATTCGGGTGCTGTCCCGTGACACTGGTAGGCTGTCAACATCGTATGATTTGATCATGGTTTACAAGTGGTAATAGCAGCTTTCCTTTGTGCAGATCAGGTGCCATCTTACAAGCATAACAGGACGAGTATTGATCAGCATTCCCAAACTTATTTGTATTAAGTATCATTGGCAGTTGTTATCACAGTAGTGTCAGATGGTTACAAATGGGTATCTTAGTGCTCAGAGGACAACTGCCTTTTGGCTGAATGACTAAGCTGGGCAGACTCTTGAGCAACTGCTGGTGGAAGGGAGGGAATGTAGAAAGGTTCCAGTAAAAATGGGAGAGAAGCTGTCAAAGATGAAGGCCAGAACATGCATTGGAGGACTTAATTCAGAAGTGATCTTTCAGTGCATTGTAGAGATAAACAGTGAGGGCTGCACAGTGACTGCTGCTGAGTTGGTTTGGGGTCACCATCTGTCTTTCTGCTGCAGGCTTCTTTGGAGATGCATCTGGTGATGCTTATTCAGAATTCATGAAAGCCGCCAACAACCTCAGAGATAACTACCGTTTTGCACATACCAGTGAGGACCAATTGGTGCAGAAGTATGAGGAAGATGGAGAGTAAGTTGTTTAACACAAGGATTTCTTGTTATTGAGACATCTGGAACAAATTCATGGATTCCAGTTGTTAACTGGATTCACTTTCTGAACACAGCTTAAGGTCTTGTTTCTTCCCCAACTGCCAGTGGCATATCTTTTTTATCTCTTTGGCATTGAGATGGAGAGGTACAAATGGTTGCAGGCTCTGGAGGGTTAGTGCCTGCCTCCAGATGGGAAGTATCTCAACAGAGGTGTTTTGCTTCCCCATTGCTTCTTATGGTGGGTTATTTTGTTTCTCATTGTGGCCTGTCTGAATAGAGGAGAAGGGTCTGACAGGTAGATCTAATACAATAGTGCCACCAAGAAACTAGACAGTCTTGTCGAAGCTATGAACAGTGAATGGGGGTAGTCACTGGAGATTGGGTTCTTGCCTCATCTAGCTGCCATCCTTGGAAACCCAGGGATACTTTAAACTAATTCATGATACCTGCTTCCCCTCAGGGGTATAGTCTTATTCCGTCCTCCACGCCTGACGAACAAGTTTGAGGACGGCTCTGTCAAGTACACAGAAGACAAAATCACCAGTGGAAAGATCAAGAAATTTATCCAGGAGAACATGTGAGTTCCTTAGGTCTTATTGATTACTGGCATTTAATGTTCCTGGGTGGGAAACAAGAGTGTGCTGCATCAAGCCCATTCCTGGGAGGTGATGGGTTCTGGGCAGTGAAACTGAAGCTGCTAACATCTGTCTCATTGATAGCTTTGGCATCTGTCCACACATGACTGAAGACAACAAAGACTTGATCCAGGGGAAGGACTTGTTGGTGGCGTACTATGATGTGGACTATGAGAAGAACGCGAAGGGCTCCAACTACTGGCGCAACAGGTACACAGCGGTGGGGGGTTAATCGGCTTCTCTCACTCGTTCCCTGCATCGGTGCTGTTCCATAGCTCAGTTGACAAAGTTTCTCCTACTGTTCGTATGTGAATTCTTCTCTCCCAGAAAGCTTCCAGCTGAGTTTCTCATCGGAACTATTGGGGTGGCTGCTGCCTGCAGAGCCCAAAGCATGCAATGTGTATCCTTTGAAACCCCACCTGCTTGTTTTTGGATCCCTAATCCTTAGACCTTAAGCATGAACTTCCTTACTGGTGTTGTGTGGGATTCTGTCCTTTCCCCAGTGCCCGAGACCCTGGTGATCGTGCTGCTGGGTGGAGGCTGAATGCGCACAACATTTGCACAGGCCTCATTCACAATAGACACAGCTTACTCCTCTGCTTCTCAACACCATTTCTATAGGACTCGCCTATGCAGAACACATCATGCCATTGAATTCCTTGTCCAGTGTGCACTTCAACTTGAAGGGTGTTACGTCATATGGAAGATAATGTTCCAAGGAATCATGCTTTGTGTTTTGTGTTTGGTTTTTTTTTTCCCCCTCAGAGTTATGATGATTGCAAAGAAGTTCTTAGATGCTGGCCACAAACTGTCTTTTGCTGTTGCTAGTCGGAAAAGCTTTGGCCATGAGCTTTCAGAGTTTGGTCTAGACAGCGGCGTGGGTGAGGCTCCAGTTGTTGCCATCAGAACCGCTAAAGGAGATAAATACGTCATGCAGGAAGAATTCTCGTAAGTTTTTGAACTTAGCAGTGTTGCCTGTCACTTGATGGACTTTGGTCTGGGGGTCTCTGACCAAATCATACTTTGTTAGCTTGGAGGAAACAGGAAAGCTGGATGTTACAGTTGGAAGAAATATTTGCTGGGTCAAATGGCTCCTACTCATGTGTTTTCCTGCCCTCTAGAGAGCTTGCAGCCCTTCCTGTTACACAAAGGTAGATAATTTAATTCAAGATATTTAAGTGTCTGGTTAGGAACTAAGATGCATTAAAGGGCACAGGAAAGAGTGGTACCTTTCTTCTTGAAAAAGAAACTTAAGAGTGCTGGAAGGCCTAAAATTCAGCCTCCTGTCAAAACTCTTGAGGGCATCTTTGCGCTTGTTCTGGGGTCTTCTAAGCCAGCCACAGACTGGTGCTCTGGGAGATGCAGGTGGCATCTGTTCTGTGGGTGGAAGGAGCTTAAATCAGCCTTGAAAGTTTTCCCTTCTCATCCTATATGTATGATGATAGCTGTAAAACGTCACTTCACTTTCAGCCGTGATGGAAAGGCTCTGGAGAGATTCCTGCAAGATTACTTTGATGGAAACTTGAAAAAGTATCTGAAATCGGAGCCTGTCCCTGAAAGCAATGATGGCCCTGTGAAGGTGAGTGCTGTATCAAGCATAGCAGCAGCTCCTACCAGTGGATGAAGAAATGCTGTTCAGCAGCAGCTTCTAGTCATATGTCAGTGTCCCATGCTGCGAGTGCTGCGTTGTGGCATCTTGAGAAGTCTCTGCTGTGATAGATGGAAGAATTCACTCCCTTGTTGTATTGCAGTTTTCTGAGCCAAGGGAGA